TCCCTTCCATGACTGATATACTGGTGAAAAATTTTGTGTTTAAGTAGGTCTTGGCTCCTCTGTTGTGAACCATGCCTTCACTTCCTGCCAGCCCTGGCTGGGTAGCTCTGTGCTGCCATGTTGCAGAGCAGAATGGCAAGGAGCAGTCCTGCATGTGTGCCAACGTGCAGGTTGGCACATTCTCCTGACACGCAGTGTATCCCTGTACTTTTGCATAGCAGACAAGCCTGTTTTTTTCAGCAGCAAGTATATGGAGTCCCAAAATAACTATGCTAAATGCTAGAGCTGGGTGAGCAGTGTCACAGCTGCTATTTAGTTAGGCTGTGTGTCTATTAAAAGAAGAGCACAGTGAAAAAGTGGTTGCTAGGCCTAGAGAAAGCTTCAGTTTGGTACTGTTTCTCATGCCATGATTAGTTCCTTGCCAGTGAACAAGTTTCATAAAAGCAGCAAAGGGCCAGTTCTAGGGAGTTGTTTTGGTAGGAGAGCCTAAGCTCCAAGGCTGGAATTGTCTCAATAATGAGCCAATGGTGACTCCAAGTGGTGAACACGTGCAAGTGGCATCGTGAAGTTCCAATTTCAGCCCAGACTTCTTTGGCTACTACCATTCCCTCTCAAGTACTGAGAGCTCCTGTCTTTTGAAAGAAAATCATCTCCTTCCTGTGTCCCCTACCTGCAGTCATGGGCACCCAGCCCTAAGAGCAATGCTGCTGTGCTGTGCCTGTCTCATGCCTCCCACCTGCTGAGCAGGAGCTCTCATTCTCCATCCAAGTGCATGCCACAGCTCTGGACTGGATTGCCCTACGAGCCCTCCACTTGGTTGGGTGTGTGATGCTGCATTGCTGGTGGCTGTGCCATGGGGAGTGACAGTCATTGTGTGGTGGCACCAAAGCCAGCCATCCTGGACCACGAGTGACTGCTCTTCCCCCTTCTCTCCATCTCTCTAGCAAGCTGACTCAGGACAACAGGATAGAAAGCCCCATTCCTATCCTGCCTCTCCCAACACCAGACACAGAGACAGAGAAGCTGATTAAGATGAAGGATGAAGAGGTGAGTACCATTTCTGCCTGTGCCTCCTGGATGTTGGAGCTGGAACCCCAGGAGTTTCTCCAGGGTTGCCCCATGGAGGGTCCTGATGCTTCCCACTCCTGTGGGCTCCTGGGGTGGGGGACAGGGTTGAAAGCCGTGGCTTCCTCTGTCAGGGAAACATAGCTGCCTTCCACCCCAGACACAGGTGCCTCTGTGCTCAGGCAGGAGTTAATACCCCTGAGGGATCCCCTGGTCAGCTCCAGGGGGCTGCCAAGTGTGGAGCTGCTGGTCCCTGTCTGACTCTCTCTCCTGTGTCTCCTGCAGTTACGGCGGATGCAAGAGATGCTGCAGAAGATGCAGCAGCAGATGCAGGATCAGTGAGAGGCAGGTACCTGGAGGGCAGAGGGGATCCCCCAGTGACCATCTGAGACCTGGCAAGAGCTGTGAACATTTAGAAAAGGTTTCCTGTTGTATAGAGACTTGTGGGCAAGAGCTGCACCCGCACCCTCTAATTTATTAGCAGCAGTGCTGGCTTTTCGACCAGCTGGATTGTGGAGGAGGCTGTTCACTTAACAGTTTACTGATGTGTATTTCTTTTTAAATAATTATTCTTTGATTTCTTTTTTTTTCTTTTTTTTTTTTTTTAAAGAAACTAGCCTGGGACATCTCTAAGGCATCCTAAAAAAATAAGAAAAGAAAAAGATCCCCCTTTCCTATGTACTAATATCTTGTTTGGGAATGCTCTGGTATTTAAAGTCCTGGTTTCTCTGGTGTACAAACTTAGAGTATCTGTGTCAATGCACGTAAGTGTTTACTCCCAACTGAGGTGCTGTGCCCCTGTCCCTGTTCCCCTTGTCTGGGGCCAGCACAAGGATTGTAAAGGCAGCCATACCCTTCTGTGAGTTTGACCTGCACTGCTTGGGCTTCTCAGCCTGAGGACAGTGCTGGCCCAGAGAACTGGGGCTGGGGGTTCCTCTGTGCACTGACCTGCTCAGGAGTCCTGATGATTGCCTGGTATCCTGTCCAGGTTTTTATGGATTTTTTGTTTAATTGGTTGGTTTTGTTCTTCCTGTCAAGAAAACTCCAGGATGTTTGCACTGAACAGCAAAAGACTGAGTGCCTGAGGCTGGTTACAAGAAAACTCTTCTCAGTTACATCTTTCTGGCAGAGGTTGAGTTGTTGGCTGTTGCCTGCAAGGAGGTGATGGGAGTGGGCACTTTCCCTGCCATGGTTTTCTCCCACAGCAGGCTGGAGGCATTGGCAGAGGAACCCTGAGGTCCTGCAGTAGCTGGGTGAGGGTGTTTCATGGTTTAGCTCTGGTCATCACCTGCAGTGTGTCTCCAGTGTGTGCTCTGAAAAGCACTGTGGCATCCAGAGCACTTGCCAAGACTGCTTTGGAGGGGGTAGAAACCCTAGGGCTGAAATCCAGCCCAAAATGCAGACCTGCCCCCTACCCCCAGGCTTTGCAGTCCCATGAGCAATTGCTGGCTCCAGGCTTCTCCTGGGGGAAGAGGCAGTTTCTGTAGGCTTGTATCAGAGATCTGCAGGCAGTCTGTGTGGGAGGTGTTGGGTCAGCCTGGCAGGTGCAGGACTGCCATTGAGTGGGGCTGAGCACAGCCCAGCAGGCTTGGCTCTTGCTCCCCTGCCCTTCTCCCCCTCCTTATTCCTTGCCTCTTCCTGCCTCTTCCTAGTGCTGGGAAGGCTGGTGGGTCTGCTGGGCAGAGATAAAAGCTCTCTTTGGGCAGCAGCTCCTGTCCTGTTCTTGCTTCCTGCAGTATTTTTAACTTGAGTGCAGCCAGAGCAGAGCCCTGGAGTGTGATGCGCCTGACAGGGCAGGGCTCACCAGCAGCACTGCCATGCTCACAGGAGTCAGGGCTGTTGGAGGGAGAGACACTTGGCTCTTCCCTCTGGCTCCAGGGAGTGCAGCCATGGGCTGGGCCCTTCTGCTCCTTGGCTGACTCCTCTGCCCCCTTTCCCTTTTTGTATCTGTTCCTCCATCTCTGGATCTCCCCAGTAGATCTCCCTGGGTAGGAAGCACAGTGTTGGCCAGGAATAGCCAGGCCCTAGGTTCTGTTACTGGGCACTGCATTTGTCTGATTCCTCCCTGGGGCTTTGGAGTCCCTGTCAGGGTTTGTCCCTGGTGAGTAGGTTGGCTGGTTCCAGTTATTCACTGTACAGAGCCTCTGCCTAGCCAGTGCATGGGCTGTAGGGGCAGGGGAGAGACCCTGGCACCATGTGGAAGGATGGAAGCCCTTTGACAGAGCTGTGCAAGCTGGGCGAGAGCAGTGTTCAACAATATTCAGGGGTTTTTTCCATGCTCCCCTATTTTGGGTTCATAAGTGGCAGTGCCATCCTAGGGGAGCAGAAGGATTCAGCTTGACTTCAGTAACATGAAGGACCAAGGCACCTGAGAGGAAGTGTAACCTTTCTTTGCATGATGTGCTTACTTGAGCAGTGGAGTAGCCTGAAACAGGAGCTTCCTCCAGGTTTTCCAAAAAGGTGGACAGCTGAGTTCTTGGCTTTGTCTGTGCTAACATAAAAGGAAACATCTTGAAGTACCTGTCCCCTCTTTTCTTGCCCTAATCTTGGTGAGGAGATGTTCTGTTGCAAATGAGCCTTGTCCACCTGGAGATTTTCCTCTTTCAAACAGATTAATTCCAGGAAGACAAAGGAGACCTTTTCCCTTTAGCATGGACATAGAGCAGCTGACACCTTTCATGCTGGGCTGGGCACAGAGGTGCTGTGTGCTGGTGGAAGCTCAGGGCGCACTGGTCCCAGGCAGGGCTGCTGAGGTGGATCTGCCCATCCCTCCACGTGGGGAAGTCTCCATCAGCTCAGTGCACGTGGCTCCTCCATCAAGCCAAGGGTCACAAGCCTGTCCTCTACAGAGAGATGAAGCCTTTGGCTACCAGCTGGCAAAGATGGTTCAAGCTTCATTTAGGAAAAACCAGACAGGAGTGAGGCACCAGAGATGGCTTCCACAGAGGGGTGGTGGTACCACTGAAACCATGTCTCTGTAGGATGTTCCCTGGCCTGAGTGCCAGAATTTAGGGACTGCTTGGAAGGGGACTAGAGACTGATTTTGGGGGACATCAGGGGTTCAGATTCTGGCCTGGGAAGTGGAATCTGTTTATTTAAGGAGTGTGTTGTACTGTGGCATCAATTCTCACAGTAAGTGGAGGAGAGACTCCTGAACACAGGGAGCTTAGCCATGTGGCTCTGGCAGTGAGAAGTGTGGATAGGAAAGTAATTGAACACCTCCCCTCACACAACCCTCCACAGGCTCACATACAATCCCTGCACCCCCTGGCACATTCCCATGCCTCTGCTGAGTGAGTGGCTGCAGGGATGGTGTCCCACTCCACAGCTATCCCAGGCTGCAGCTGGGGCTGTAGGTACATCTTGGCCCCTGTGCCTGACAGGATGGATCCATGGCATGAACTCCTTGTGTGCCACTGCTGTGCTGGTCCTGCCTGTGCAGTCCTTGCTGCCTCCTTGCATGCCTCCCCTCAAAGGAGGGGCTCCCACTCGTGTGCTCTGCAATGGCATTCCCTGCTCTTCCTCACAAACTCTGCTGTGCTTTAATGCTGGCTTGCTCCTGCCATGCACCTTTCTCACCCCCTGCTCCATTCCTAGGCTCTATGTTTCCTGTCCATCTGTTGGGTTATTATAATTATATATTTTTTTGTAAATTTCTGTTTGAACATTTTGTCATTGTGAACAAAGAAAATGAAACCTTTTAAACATATCCATTTTATTAAATGATTATTGTTATTATTATTATTATTAATGTTTACTACCTGAATTGATCAGTGAAATAAATACATTCAAAAATCCAACCTTTTTCTGTTTAATTTTCAGCCCCCTTGAGCAGCATTGGTGATGCATTATTTGTAGGAGAGAGCAAAACTGACCCTGTTTCTCCTTTTATCTAATTCAGTCAGAGCAGGTTTCAGGCAGGTTTCCTGCATGGGATTTCTGGCCTGTTTATTGCAGAAGGTAGCAGGATGATCTTGAAGGTTCTTCTACATCCAAGCTTCCCCTAGGAGTGGTATCTAAATCATCAGTGGTCAGCTGGGCAAGATCCAGTCCCAGGAAATCCAGTTTGTAAGTAGCCAGGAGAGCATTGCCAAGCCCATGCTGCATGCAGAGCCACAGTGGGGCTGGCTCTAGACCAGCTCCATGCCTCACCTGGCCTGAACACCTGCCTGTGGATAAACATTGCACTGAACACATGAGATGAGGTAAGTTTGCTGAACAAACTTACCCTGCTGTAGTTGAGCTGCTCCCAAGTGGAAAGCAGGCCCTGCAGGAAAAACTGGGTTAGTTTGTTAGCCTAAGATATCTTTCCCACTCTGCCTGGCCACCACAGTGAAACAACTGGAATTATCTGCTCCAATTTTGTAGAAATTTAAAGTTTACTTGCTTTCTTCAGAGCATAAAAAAAATTCCCTCGGTTAGGGCCACATTCTGCAATTTTTTGTCCCCTGAGTTCTCTCAACATGAGCACCTTCAGAGCATTCATAATTTCTGGTCTCTAGGATGTCCACAGTACAATGTAACAGAGTTGAGTTCAATGGGGCAGCAGTTCCATGATGTGATTCTGGTGGCCTCAGGCTGAGGAGTGTAGTGTATGCCTGGCCAGGCTGATGCAGAGAAGTGTCTGTGAAGATGTGGTGGCCATGAGAAGATGTGATTCTGCCTGAAGGTAGTTTTGATCCTTGGACTTGCTGTTGGAGTATTTGTGTAATGCAGCTTCTAAATAAAGCATGTGGTCAGTCTTTCTCAGTAAGTGCACTTGTCAAGGGCTGTGGGCCATTTGAAGAATATTTCTCTGGAAAGATGGATGGACTGGAAGACCATGTCTATCAGCAGATCTTTCACTAATAAGTAGTAGAGTTGTGTCACTGCTTCAAGGGAAACCTGAGGGTCAGCACCCAGAAAGTGCTGGGTGTCACCACTCTGCCAGGTTTTCCTGATGAGATGGGAAACCAAAGGTCCCAGTGCTGAGGGAGTATGGTCCCAACCAGTAACATCACCTTCCAGTCTGAAGTGCATTTTGAGTTACTGTGCCACAGACTTTGTAACATTGCTGTTGGGCTGAGCCTGTGGGCCCAGAATCACAGTTCCCAGTACTGGCAGCATCTCCCAGCAAACTGTTCTTGTGAGCAGTGTCAGCTCCCGTTTCTTGGAAGACTTTGCCCAGTGAAGCCTCAGCTTCCGGAGCCAGGCAGCACACTTGCAGGAAGGCCTCATGTGGGAGGTGTCCCTGGGTGAGCCTGGCCCTTATCTTGGCAGCCAGCTGCAGGGGATTATCTGGGAGCAGAGCAATGCACACGCTCTTGCACTGGCTGGGCTGCCTCGAGACCTTTCTCTTGGGCTGTAAAGCCAGCAAGAAAACAAGGACTGAGCTACTTTGGTAAGTCAATAATGCTACCTTCTACTCTTTTTTAAAATTTTATTTAATTGATTGACAATTACAATTTGTCAAGCACAGAAAAATGCTGCCTTTTTGCAGGTATGTGTAGTTGTTTCTGGAGAAGTTACAGCTGCTCCTTGACCCGTGTCTCCCAGCACAGGTGATTTATTCACCTGCTGGGGCAGTGTATGGCATGAAAAACTCCACTGGCCTCCATCCTCAGTGGTCAGCATCCTCTCTGCAGCCAAAAACTGTTTATTACTTCTTTTCAGGGCTGGAAAGGCTATTTTTTACTCATGGTAACAGTAAATTTATTTCTGAATCTCCTCTTGCAGTTGGCATGAACGAAGCTTTGCTTACAGACGTAATCTAGAGCTATAATAAGACATGAGGAAGTTCATACTCTAGTTTTTGATTCCTTGACAGAAATTTTCTTGGCTACCCTGATAATGCATCTCCAGTAATGCTGAAAACACAAGCAGCTCTTGTGCACTTCTGAGGACTAGTGAAAATGTATTTGATGGCTGCAGCTAAGCCTTCCAGTAGCCATGTATTCCTGTCCCTCCTCAAATCCAGGGTTGCAAGACCATGAATATTCCTTCACCTCTAGTGAGAGACCAGAATTTGCTCTCTTTTAACTCTGTTCTTTTCAGAGCTCTTGCGTCGCTGGTGGAGGACACCAAATTCACCCAACTTTAGAAGCTCATCCTCAGAACAGAACAACAAAAGACCTTGGCTGTGGTGTCAGTCCTGGAGTGTGTGGTGTCTGGTCTCCACCTTATCCAATCTCACCAGGGAAGTGTTTGCAGCTGAAAATGAACAGTGGAATTCTCTTGTCCCTCCTTGGCTTCCTCCCACTTGTGACACCCATATGCCCAGTGCCATGCAAGTGCACCACCACCGTTACTGACTGCTCCTTGCAAAACCTGACTGTAGAAAACCTGCCCGCTGCGTTCCGTCCCTCGGCTGAAATCATCCACCTCGGTTCCAACAGGCTCACCTCTATTCCCAATGGGCTCTTTGACAACCTGAGGAGCCTCCAGGTGGTCTACCTGCAGGGCAACCCTTGGGAGTGCACCTGTGACATCCTCTACTTGCGCTCCTGGCTGCAGTGGCAGCAGAACCGCAGCCTGTACCGGGATGTGAGGTGCAGCTCCCCGGAGCACCTGCGCGGCCGCATCATCGCCTACCTGACAGAAGATGAGATCGTCTCCACGTGCCAGCAGTGGTACTGCAGCCTGGCTCTCCTCTCTCAGCTCTCTCTCTTCATCCTCCTTTTCCTCCAGGCTATCTTGGTTATCCTCATCATTGTCTACCAGCAGAAATTTCGGAGAATGACCGCTGAGGTCCGGAGCACCACCCGAGAACTAGACCAGCAGGTAGACCCTTGGGTATCTTCTTCAACAAACCCCTCCAACAATAATTAACATCACGAGACAGAAAACCCTCCTCCCTTTGGAGGACGCTGTGCAGAAGTCCTGTAGTTTGTGATACCCAGAGGGGACAATTTAGTACAGCAACTAATCCTGACTGCAGTCTGGAGCAGGACTTGAACTGATCAGACTTTTGCTGTGTCCCTAAAGAATCAATCTTGGGTTTTTTCAATGCTTTAAATTCTTTAGCATGATCTTGACTGCTTGTCTGAGCTGGAAGTGGTTCTGTAGACTAAGGAAGTAATAAACTACAGCAACCAGAACTGACTCAAACAGCTCATAGGGGCTCCAGTGCTCGATCCCTGCCCTCCTACAGTATTCCAGCCGTATTCCCCAGGATGCTTCTGGTTGTGCTGGGTCAGGGGAGGACAGAGGTGGGCAGCAAACTGTTTGAGTACTGAGCTAGGACAATGGAGAAATACAGTTTCCTTCTGCTACCACAGACAGCATAAAGAGCTTTGGACTAGGGATTTAGTCTTCTCCTGTCTTGGTTTCCCAAGTAAAAGGGAAAGGAAATATCTTCTTGCTTGATGCATCTTTTCCAATGTTCTTCTAGGGGAGGGAGGGCAAGTCTAGAAACCCACTCATTTTACCTTATCTGCATTCCTTTTAGTCTACTTTAGTTTTAATACTGACTTAAGTGAGTGAGACTGGGGCCCTGAATCTTTATGGGAATTCATCCTGAAGACAAGAATTGTTTGACTGTGCCTGTATGGCACCTGGCACAAGAGATCTGATCTTGAGAGACTCAAAACTACAAACCCCACTGATGTGTCTACTGCTGTTTATGGTGTCCCTTAATTATTTTTGAAATAAAGAAAAATTTAAATAAAATTATGCACAATTATATAAATGGCTTATTTTTCTATTCTGCACTGTATATTTTGCATGCTGTTGTGTTCCCTGAGACTGTTCCTCACCCTCAGACTTTGTGCCAAGCAAAACAAATCCTGAGGGCAGGTGGAGAAATTACTGGAGTGCACCATAGGGTTAAACTTTGGCAGCTGCTGGCTTCTACCATGGGCCAGGAGAAACTGGGACTTTCTTCCAAAGCCACTTCGTGGCTGCTTGTTTTGTGATGCAGCTGGAATGGGGAGGGCATTGGTGGGGCCAGCAGGGGAACGACCTGAGCCCTTCAGTCCCCAAACCCAAGTCCCGGGGTCCATTCCCCACTCAGCTCGGCCACGAGAAGAGCTCTGCCCAGGGGCTGCTGGCAGCGGTGGGGACGGGGCAGCTGGTGGCAGGGGATGGGACAGGCGGGGGCAGCGACAGGACAGGCGGGGGAAGGTGATGGGACATGGGACAGGTGAGGGCAGTGACGGGACACGGGAGGGCAGTGAGTGAACAGGGACAGCGGTGGGACCTGGAGCAGGTAAGGATAGTGTTGAACAGGGACAGCGGTGGGACCCGGGGCAGGGAGGGCAGTGTTGAACAGGGACAGCGGTGGGACCTGAAGCAGGTAAGGACAGTGATGGGAGCGGGGCAGGGACGGCAGTGACCGAACAGGGACAGTGGTGGCAGTGACCGAGCACCGCCAGGCGGCGCTGCCCCGCGGCCGCCGAGCGCCCCCTAGCGGCCCGCTGGCCGCTGAGGGAGCCCGTGAGGGGAGAAGGAGCTGAAGGGGCTGAAGATGCTGAAGGAGCCGGTCCGGGCACTCCGGCGCCACCTGAGGGGAAGAAGCGAACAGGGACAGCGGTGGGGCCCGGGGCAGTGACGGAGCGCCGCCAGGCGGCGCTGCCCCGCGGCCGCCGAGCGCCCCCTAGCGGCCCGCTGGCCGCTGAGGGAGCCCGTGAGGGGCGAAGGAGCTGAAGGGGCTGAAGGAGCCGGTCCGGGCACTCCGGCGCCACCTGAGGGGAAGAAGGGAGTCCTGGGGCTTCTCTGCCTCAGGCTGCTTCACCTCGGCTCAGCTCAGCGCAGGGGGCCGCGCTAGCCCCACACGCACCGGGTGTTGCAGTGAAAAGCCGCAGCGGCTCGGGGCGGCGGTGCCGATGGAGCTCAGGCGGGAAGATGGAGGCCTGTGGGTCCCCTCACGGGAGAAGGAGCTGAAGGGGCTGAAGATGCTGAAGGAGCCGGTCCGGGCACTCCGGCGCCACCTGAGGGGAAGAAGGGAGTCCTGGGGCTTCTCTGCCTCAGGCTGCTTCACCTCGGCTCAGCTCAGCGCAGGGGGCCGCGCTAGCCCCACACGCACCGGGTGTTGCAGTGAAAAGCCGCAGGGGCTCGGGGCGGCGGTGCCGATGGAGCTCAGGCGGGAAGATGGAGGCCTGTGGGTCCCCTCACGGGCAGCGCGCGGGTGGGCTCGATGGCTGAGAAGGACGTTCCCCGTGCTGTGTGTGCCGGGGCCAGCCTGACTGAGGTGAGTAACATGGGGCTCTGCCTTGGGGTCTCCTTCTGCCATTTCCTTGCTGTGCCCCGTGTCCTTCCAGCACTAACCCCTGTGGCATTGGCCTGACTGGATGTGGCAGCAAGGCACCCAAGGAAATTGGGGTCCAGTTCAGATTTATTTTTTCTTCTGGGGACTGCACCTCTTGCACCAGTATCCCCTGCAGTATCACTATGAGCATGACCTCCAAGGAGGCACACAGGACTGCTGAGGAGCCTCCTCTGTGGAGAGGTCCAAATTGGTGCTCCATGAGGCCCCGTGAGGGGACCCACAGGCCTCCATCTTCCCACCTCAGCTCCATCAGCACCGCCGCCCCGAGCCCCTGGGGCTTTTCACTGCAACACCTGCTGCTTTTGGGACTGCAGATTTGTAGCTGAATTCACCTGGGTTAGAAGGTGCTGCTGGTGCATGTGGGCAGTTCAACAGGTTCAATTGCTGGGAGAGGCTGAACTGGGAGCAGGCACAGTCCCAGCCCTGTGACAGCTTAGTCTGTTGACACTGCCATGGGGTGATGAAAATCCTTCATGGCTCAGTGTGTCCAGAGAGACAGAACAACTGCTGACTTTGGTTTTACTACCCTGAGCAGGCAGGAGGGCTCCTGACTCTGCATCACTAAGTCTTGGCACATAGAAATTTAAAAGCCTTTTCGGTATTATTTGCACCTGTAAAAAATGTGACCAGCCATGGCACTGTGATAATGAATTGCACTGAGTGCAGAGTGATTTGTGTGCCATGGCAGCATGTCTAATCCATAAATCCAGAGCCTGCATATCTTGCCTTCTCCTGGCTCAGGAATCTGCATGTCACAGATGCTTTCTTGCTTCACTACCCAGTGGAGGATCTGCTGGGCTGTCGTTGAAAGGAGAACTGGCTTTCATTCTGAAGGGACACTGTCCAAGAATGCACAGATGCTTTGAAGGGGAAGCAGTGGTGAAATATGGCAAACATAATAAGGGCAAGCTATTAAGCTGCTTTGCAAATAATTTTCTAGTATCAAGGCCAATCCAAGTCCATGCCATGCAGGGTTGGGCTGCCAGGCCTGCTGGACAGTCTACTGCTTGCCAAAGGTTCAGATGCTTCCAAGCAGCTCCTTTCTCTCAAAGTTACCAGGTTAAAGAAGCCTGGGAGACCAGACAAGGTGTTTGCAGCCTCCATGATGCAGATCTCCAAACCTGAGGTGTCTAAAAAGCAGCTCAGCACTTCCTAAGTGAAGGACCAAGTGGTTGGTAGATGACACTGGGGAAAGCACGCTGCTTTTTCCTTCCTCCAAATGCCTTGTTTCTCAGTTATCTTTAGGGTGACTTTTGCATGTTTAATAGAGAAAAAGAAGGCTTGAAAGCAAAGCAAGCTGATTTTGGGGCCTAGAGGATTTTAACCCATAATCCCACAGTCCCTGTACCATATGGATAGTGGTTCTGTTTTGCTTGAAGATTGCTGCAGGCCCTTGCTTACAGATTGTCTGGGTCCACGTGACCCTTGGGAACCTGCCCCTGTCCTTTTATTTACACTTTCATGGGCTCTGCACCCTCAGGCATGCAATGAAAATATCACAGCTGTACACACAGGCAGCAACTCATTGTCACCCACTGCAGGGCTTGGTCACAGGGACAGGCCATTCCATGCAGCACTTGGAGACAGTATGGAGCATGGCACATCCCTCTCATGCAGTCAGAGCTGGGTGCTGTGTGTGCCCAAGTGAGAACTTTCAGTGGATGCCTTGGGGGCAGCCTGATCTGGCATTTGTTGCATTGTTTACAAATCGTAAGAGGCATTTTTCTTGGTCATGAGTATGATGCTGCCTGGCCTTCTAACCCGCTCATTTCCCTTCAGGATTGAAGCATGAAGGGCATCCCAGAGAGAGTGCCAAGAAAACAGTGTTGATTCCACATCGTGGGACATCTTATCTGTCCTAGGGTACATGGAAAAACAAAGATTTGAGAAATGTTCAGAACTGACTTTTACTTTTTTATGTCTGTATTTGCATATGAAAACAAAGGTTCCCTCAGGTTCATAGGCCTTATTTTGGAGGGCTTTAATGGAGAGCACAATTTAATTTGACACATTTCTGCAAAAGATTGGTTATCATGGGGAAGTGCATTGAAAGCAGCAGGTTGCAGTGTTTTGCTCTGAAGATAGTGTGTGTACATACTGTATGTCTAGGTAAAGTTACATGTTCCCTGGAGGGACAGGATAGAGCACTACTGGAGGACATAAAAGATTTAAGTGGGTTTAGTCCAAAAAAACCTCCTCAATTCACCCTACGAATTAAATCTACAAGTAATTTTTTTTTCTATTTCTTTATATATCTCATGGTCTGCTTCTGGTCTGAAATATTTGTGACTATTGAGAACAGAATATGCTGGGAGGTCTTTCTTTATTTTTCCACAGAGGAAAATTAACCTGAGAGTTACAAAACCAAAATGCCAGGAATGCCCTCTGTGGATACCAAATGGCTCAGGCTGTGTAGCTGATCTGCCATCCTCGTCTGTCACAGCTGATGATCACTTCTGACCTGCCCTGTCACAGCTGTTTGGTTCCACACCAACACCATTCCTTGTGCATGGGAGCAGCTGTGCTCACTGAAGGAAAGTGTCTCCAGAGCCACTGCAGCGCTGACAGTCACTGGGGCTCGCTCAGGAGAGGGCAGCAAATCGCTTTTAAACTCCTGTTTGCTTTGACTAGTAAAATACACGTGAGATTTGGGCCTGGGAGAGGGTGAAGGCAAGTGTGATGTCAGCCAGAAGATGACAGGGATGCCCCAGACTTAGCTGCCCCAAGCAGCAGGCACTGCTTCTTGAACCAGGAACTGCTAGGTAAAAAGCTCCTTTTCTTGTTGTTGTTTCAAAGCATCAAACTGAAACAGAGAGGGAGAGGAGGTCGTCATTATGGTGTTGTGGCCATGATGTAAATAGGGTTGGTTCTCTGGGGGTGTTTAGTCTGATGAGCTTTGAAGGGTGGAAATCCATCCTTTGGCAGGTGGTAGAAAAAGCTCTTGCCATCATCACTGAGTGGTGAGAGCAGTGGTTTTTTACTGACATACCTGTTGGACATGGCATGGTGCCTGGGCTGTTTTGTACCTCTCACAGGTGAATCTCCATATTGGGTCAGGAGGATGGGTGGGAGGTTAGTGCTCTCAGAATGCCCCAGGGTCATGTAGGACAGAGGACTCAAAATTGTTGGGGCTGGCTCTGTGCATCTGTGGGACAGAGAATGCAGAGGCTTGAACAGGCAGCTGTGTAAGCACCCATGGAATTTAAATGCCTCTGGACTGGCAGGAGCTGTGGGGAACTAAAATCTGCATCAAAGGACTGTGAAATACCAACAAGTCCTGTTAGGAACCTAGCCCTTGACTTGGTTGTCTCTCATAGGGTATGATAAGGGATGTGCCTGTGTTTGGGGAGCTTTTACCTCCAGCATTCTCAAGCTCACCAAAGCATTATGTGGGCACCCACACTTGCTCTGTATCTCC